GACATGTAGCATAAGCTGCCAGCTCCCAGCTGGTACAGCAGCTGATACAATGGGATGTTTTTCCCAGTTGTGCCATGGACTTGTTATGTTACACCTGACCGTACCGCTGTTTCACACCGTATCTCAGACAGGGCTCTGCAACAGCAGAGGAGGAAGAAACCCCCATGGGAAAAGGCAGATGGAGACTGTACAGTAAGGCCACAGGGCTGGGGCAAGAAGTCCGGAAGAGACCCGACTGGCACGTGAGCAGTCAGCACAGGCAGCAGCGTTAATTGACTGTAAAGAGTGCAGCATGTTGCTTTGCCGTGGCTTCCTCACGTGTCAGCTGCTAATTTGTTGCTGTTTGTTTGTACATGACAGTAATGTGTTTACCTCATTAGGGGATGTCAAAGTTCCCCAAATCTGTAGCTGGGAGATTACGGATTTCCTTTCCTGACACGCGGAGGAAGCACAGCAGACGAGCGAGCAGAGTTTTTGGCAGTGGGATAAAGGCAAGCAAAGCGGAAGAATGCATTAACCCTTAGAGTGCTTGGTCCATCAGAAGAAGCATGCCTTTCCCTGAAGAGATCACTGATGTTCCTAAAATCGGAACCTGCGTGTCAAACTGTAGCCATTAAATAACACTCAGCTACCGTAGCAAGGGCCATGATGTAAAGCCTGTAAAACCTCTTAAAGCAAGGACATGAGAAAGAACGGGCATATAAAGAGAGAGGATTAGAAAACAGCTACTATACATCACACTCCACTGCTCAGACCACTACCAGGCCTCCGTGTAGCTGTTCATAGAGCAGCGGCTTTCCATTAATTATGATTCAACTACCCTGCAGTTAGTTGTTCCTTCATTTGTAAAAATGCTCCTGTTTTCCAGCCAGTTATAATCTTGGCTGTAATTATCCTGATGGCAAAGGAGTTACTCTAGAGAGCCTTTTCTTCCCCCTTTGATATATTTGAATCCAAACAGGATTTCTAGCTCTATAAGCGCGTGCCGTAGTTTCTTCCTCTAAAAGGACGTACAGCTGGACTTGACCACCTCTAATACCCGCTTTCTAGCGTGGGCTCCGATATTGATACCATCTGTGACCCTGGTGGCCTCAGCCTTCCCCTGTTTAGTGCATTCCTACCAATCTAATTTACAGGATGGCTCTGAGAATTAATTAGTTAAATTTTGTAGATAATTCTGAAAGTCCTAGAGGCTACTGTTGCCTATGTTCTCTGCCAACACATCACATTTACCACCTTCCATGTGAATGAATTCCTAGGATGCTGTCCAAACTGACAAGAGGAGCAGGAAATACCTCCTGTGAGGGCAGAAGGAAGGTGTTAGGAAATTAAAGGAGCAATTCAGAAGCTGCAGCTTTTTCTTTCACTGAGACAGGAGTAGCCATGTCCCCCTCCCACATTCTCTGCTCACCAAGCCAAGCGAGGCCATGTTTTCTCATGCCCTGACGTGGGATGAAACCCCAGCATGCACAATGGTGCCAATAAGGCTGTCCCTTTTTCCGCAGTGTGGCTGCAGTCCCTTAGAGGAGGGAAGGAGGAGGATGGAAGGAGGGAGAAAAGCCTGCAGGATGGGGAAGGAAGAAGGGGCTGCATTTGCTCAGTTGGGGTCATTTGCGGCACATGCTGGGAATTCCTCAGCAGCTGGTATCTCTGACAGACAGAAGGAGTATCTCGGGGAAGATCTAGGCAATCAGTTTGACGGGGGTGGCTGGTTCCACTTCCTATGAGACATAACTCCGGCACCACATTTGACTCTGCTGATCAGATAGGAGCTGCATTACAAGGCAATATTGTGGTTTCCCTTAATGTCCTGCCAAACTACATTTATCTTCTCATTCGTTCCCCATCCTCCCTAAAGCAGCCCTGCTCAGGTCACAGTGTGGAGAGAAAGCTTTCCTTGTGAGAAGGAGGATGGAACTTGAGGCTGATCCAGAGCCCTGATGCAGGATCTGGGCTGATAAGCATGTTTTGTATTAGTCAGGAATGAGGCAGAATAACTTAATTAGAGGTGCTCTAACTGGTTCACTAAACTGAGGTCTTGACCTGCAAGGATGAACACAGGCACACTAAAAGGCTGAAAGAGTGGCTGTAAAACCCTGGAAGGCTTCTGATTACTATTTCCAAAAGCATCCAGAAAGTGGCTAAAAATAGATAGTCTTTCGAATATGTAAATGCATAACGAGGAGCAGGGTAACGTATTTGAGCTGGCTGAGTGCTATGGTTGAGTCCTGGAACCATGGCATTTTAATTCCAGCTCTGCTGACAGGCGTTCTCCAGCAGCTCACGCCTGGGGATTTGGGGTAGCTGAATACTGTAACACAGAGCAGAGCACACTTGGGCTCGACCTTGCTAGTGAAATGTGGAAGGAGGGGTTCCATCGGCTTGTGTAATAAGGAAAACGGTAGCACCTGGGACTTGGAAAAGATGCTGCAAAGAGCAGCCCTGTGCAGGCAAGGGTGTGATTGGAATAGCCGAGCCTGTCTTTTTTTTTTCTTCCTAAAATCAGTGAAGAACTGCAGCAATTTGTTGATGTGCCCAAGTATTGCTACTAAGGTCTGCTCACAGTCATCCTGAGTCATCTCGGTGTAGAGGAGAAACTAAGTAAACAACAAAGGCAACAGCCGCATCAGACCCTGAGCAGCACCAGCCAAAAAAATATTGCTGTGGCAGTTCCAAGTGCCATCAAGCATATGGCTAGCTAGGGCACTTTGTCATCACTGCCTAGCAGGGCTGAAATACTTTGCCGTCAGCTTCCATCTGCATCTCTGTCAGTGGAGGAAGGCTTCCGTCATGCAACCTCTGTAGGTACCAAGGGAAAAAAAGCCTGCTCCAGCTCACGGAGAGGTCAGTGTTGTGACCCTCCTGAGGCCTGAATGTTTGTTGTCCTTTCTCCCAGAGATGCCACGCTTCAGTATCACGTGTTCTGGGGACACCTGCCCAGCTGAACATACATCTCTGTCTACCCACGGAGTAAAGCGGTAAAGCTTTACCCCATGGAGCCTGTAGTGTGTTGTCTTATTACAGACCAAATGATTTCACTTAGCTCATTCAGTGGCATTTCCGTAAAAATTGGTATAAAAGCATCATCAAAATTATATCCTGGATTGAATTTATTGAAATGAGGGGGGATTTAAGCGCCTGCCTGCAAGCAGAGTGCCTAATTATCTTTGTGTCTGTAGCCCTTCATCCCTCTGAGCCTCAGTTCCCAGTCTGTAAAACAGGGACAGCGAGATGTCTTTTCTCTCCCCATCTGCCTTGTGTGCTCTTTGGGACTGACGGTGTCGCTTAGTCTATGTCTGCACTTCTTAACCACAGCTGGGCTATGAATTTGATTGAGGCATCGAGATACTACTATTAACAGCTGGTTTATAATGCACTTGCAGCCAGAAAGTGTTGTGACCATGGAGAGGTAGACTTCCCTCTGGGATTACATACAAGCTTATGCCAATTGTAATTATACATAAAATCGGTTACACACACACACGCAGAGATCTGGACGTGTAGAGGCACAAAACCATACACAATCACCAGCGCTTGATACCTTTATATAGCGGCATACGGGCATAATAAGCGTGTCAGGCATATGCATGGGTATACATCATATCAGTACAGGTGTATAAAGAGAAGAGAGAAAAAAAAAACTGAAAAAAGGAAATGCATTGAAACCTCCCTGCTCTCCTCTATCTGCTGCTCCAAAGACACTTTTGCCTGAAATTACTTCTTGCCACAGTGATATAGGGCTTGCAAGGCTTGTTGGGATACTCACTCCATCTTCAGGAGGCCGTAGTCAGAGGGAGAGAACAGAAGAGGGGAGAAAACCCAACTCCTAAGCAAATTTCTCCATTGGTTGGATTCATTGCCAAGGCCCTCCACCTGCAGAAATCCGCAGCTATCACATTTCTACTGCTGTGGCCGATAACGAAGATAATTGTTTCATCCACTTTGTCAAGCAGAAATGAAAAGAGGGCAAAGCAAAATGATGCCATCATAAATCATCAGGCTGAGACAGCAAAAAAAGGACAAGATAGTGACTTCATTAAGGGTTATGTATTGTGTCATTAAGTTGGCAGGGGTCACCTTTCATGTCACACTGCAGCCCCATGATGCATTGCTGGCTCCTCTTTCCAATAAAATTAAACGTAGATGTAAAACTGATTAGGCCGTGTTTGCTTCAGCCCAAGGCAAGGGAACTGCGCAGGGAATAATTGATACAAGATCGCGACTGATTTGTAATGGCAGCGATTTCTCTTCCTGGTCATTTCTTTGCTGACCTTGCCCATTAAAATAAGCCCAGCTGCCTTGGAAAGAGAGACGCTTATTCCACCCATTCTCTCCCCCCTACCAGAGTAGCTTGCCTGGAATTCATTTCCTCAGACTTTGTTTCCTTGGGATTTTTCATTCAGCATTTTTGCAGATTGACTCGGAATGCAGGTGGCCGCACGCTGCCTCTGGCTTGGTGTAAGACAGGGGACAGTCGTGTCTTTCGGGGCAGTACATTCTTGGTATCGCTGGTGACACCATTCTCACGGGTCAGTGACATCACCTCTTCTGGGTTTTACCTTCCTGATGGACGACGTCGTCTTCGTAACACTCCATTCCTTCAGGCCTTCCCACTTTCCTGTGTCCCACTGACAGGGTAGGCAATGCTTTCCTGGGAATATGGCTGTAGAAACATCCCAGTGTGTATGTCTTGATGGTATTTGGGTGTTTTGTGAGTGCTGTCAAACTCAAAAGATTTTGTCGGTGCTATCAAAACTCCTTCAAGACAGGAGGGCGTTAGCCAGAAATGGTCAAGCGTCTGCATTCCCCACAAATTTCAACATTTTGGTCAGAAGACAGAAAACTTAAACTGGAAGGAAGTCCCGGTGTTTTTAACTGAAAACCAAGTCAAAACGTTTAAGCTCTCAGTTTTTTGTATAAGTCCGTGTCTCTATGTGTATGTTTTTATTTCTAGCCAGAGGGGACAATACTTACCCTAATTCTGATTTCTGTCTTTTCAGAAAGAGAAAATGGGAAGCTCACAGGACTCCGAGTGATTACCCTCAGTCCCGGTAGAAAGCCATTCGAGAGCGCTGTATCAGGAGCAAACGCCGTCTCCTGAACCACCTGAAGGCTTGACACATGAGATCAAGCGTCTTCTGAGCGCACCAAACAGTACTTCTGCACTGCCCTGCAGTACCTAGCAGCTCTTTACTATCCCCCTGTACTCTCAGGTATGTGAAACAGCACTAAAATTAGGCGCCTTTCGTATGGATGAGATAGGATGGGAAACATGGGCTGCATGTAAATTCCTATCATACATTTTTGCAAACCCCAGGGCAACTTACCATCTGGAATTGGGGGATTTGACACTCCCTTGTGCTGAGTCACAAGAGCACATGAACGTGTCCCCTCTAAAACTTGTGTACAGTATCTCAAGGGCGTTGTCATTCTGTGCAGATACAGAGAGCAACTTTGGCTCCATCACTCAACTCTTTGGTCCTCGAATGCCTTTTACTTCCCTTTTCCAGGGCCCACGATGGTACACCACATTTCAAATGAGGCCTCCCTTACGCACCGTGTATTCCTGTGCCGAAGTAACCTCAGCAGATTTACACTCCCTCTGTTTACAGCACTTTCCCAGGTAAGGTTAGAGAATTTGAGACTAGGCCAGGGATGAAAGTGGAGGCAGTCACTAGTATTTTAACTTCCTTTTGCACTTTCTTTCAGGGGTTTTGAAAGAGCAGAAATGTAGAGCTCACCCAAAACACGGTGCCAGATCTAGAAAACCTTTCAGTGCGAGTGGCTTTCAAAGGGATTATTTATCCACTTAGAGCTAAATATGGGTTTACGTGATCTGATGGATTGGAGCTCATAATTGTGACAACTGTGCCTCATTCTTGATGCCTTTTAGCCAAGGCTTTCCTAAGTGGCTACTGGTTTTGGGTACTCGTCTCGAGAGAGGTCCTAAAATGGCCTGAGTTTCTGAGAAGAGTCATTAAACACTACGGGAAAACTGTGTGTTGCTAAGATGCCTCAAGTCAGACAGAGTGGATTTCTCCTTCCAGTCACAAAACACTTCTGAAAATCTCGGCCCTTGTCCAGGGTAAATCTTAACCTACAAGGCCACATCTTCAGCTAGTGCATGCTACAGCGTCTCTGTATATCACTCAGTGGAGTGAGGCCAATTGATTCTAGCTGAGAATCTGACCCACGGCATAAATAATTTTGTGAACTTCCCGAGAACTGGCCTTCTACAAACATGTCTGCGATAAAATTAGGCAGGCTTTCAAAGCTCTCCCTGCTCCCATTTCCTTCACACTCAAATAGGTCAGGCAACCTTAAAACTGTTAGGCAATTGGATTGATTGAACCAAGCGCTTGCAATAATGGCACTGGAAGAAAACAGAGTAAATAACAAACATCGGATCTCCTTTGCAATGAAAAACTATTAGAAAGACAGAACCAGTAAAACACATTTTCATGCATCAATCCAAGACATACGGACTAAAAATACATATAGGGAGAGGGAGAACATGCACAAGACTGAGGATGCAAGAGCCTTATAAATGGAGAAGTGAAAAACACTCATTTCCCGTGCAGTAACTAATATGATGTGGAACAAAGGAGCTGAGACCTCCTCTCCATAAACAACCAATGAAAATAAAAACATTTTCCGGGGCGCAGATGGCTGATGCTTTGATTATATTTTTCTGTTCTATACCTTTGACAGCTAAATTCACCCATTTGTGAACAACGTGGCCATAAACATGAGTAATAATGATTGGAGGTATCTTACTTTTGTTCTAATGGGCTCTAGAGTGATTCTCAGGAGCTGCTCCAACCCTTTGGGGGGGGGGGGGGGGGGGGGGGGGGGAGGTAAGATACCACAAGCCAGATCGTCAGTAGTTGTTCACAAGCCTCACAGCAACAGAGCTACACCAGTTTACGCCAGCTGTGGATTGGACCTCTAGTTTTTTTGCAGTACTGGCTCCAAACTTTTAATTAACGCTGTCCTCAGCTGTACTGTTTCAAATTCGATTGCAAAACCCTGTTGCTGACAGAGAGAGCTATCAGCATAACATTACAGGGATAGACAAAGTGGTGGGCTTTCAGAGATTTATTCTACTTTTCAACTTTTTTTTTTTTTAATTATTTGGGCTGTGTCAAACCTTAGCTGAAGATTTTTTCAACAAGGAGAGTTAAACAC